GGTTTGTTTTCGGATAGACATTGCATCGATTACCAAACAGCAATCTTGGTCATTATCTGACTGGCTACCTTCTGAGAAAGGGATGTGAATGCCTCATCAATAAAGCCTGGAGCACACTTGAATGAGGAAGACCACTTTCTAATCAGTGATGGATTGGGGAGTGGAACCAAAGACCTGACATATTTATATGCTCTGGGAGAATAGAAATACAATGTCAATGCGAATTCTTTAATTTCGTCACTGTATCTTCTTGCTGTTGGGGCAGACTTGATGTTGTCTTGGAAGTTGTAGAGAAATTTGAGTTGAGTGTTGTTGAGGGTGGACAGCAGAGCTTCTGATTCTTTGGAATTTAACACTAATTTTTCTTCTAGGAATTGAATAACTTCATGCATGGTGTTCATCTTCTTCTTGGTTCTTCTTAGTTTTTGCTGTAGTGTATACGTATTTTTTTGCTGTATTTTTGTGTGTAATTCATCTCTTTCATCACTTGAGGAACATCTTGGTCTTTTTTTCTGGAATTGAAGGATCATTTTCATAAGCTGGGCATGGTCTCCTCTTGTTTATTCTTCTGTTTAATTCCTCATCATGTGCTGTTCATGTTGGTGGGTAAGAATGTACAGGTGAACCAGATGGAAAAGCATATTTTTTGAGTCAACATGTGTTGTTGGATGAAGGAGGCAAGATATAATCAATTGATTGGAAATGCTTGCTGCATATACGACTGTTCCGGTTGACTTGCCATGGCTTTTTATTAACTTTTTGAACATAATTCTCCCAACATTTTAGTAAAGCATCATTTTTCAAAGGAAATCTATAACAATAATTATAATTTTTATGTAAATTCAGCTTTATTTTCACCCTTCTGTCTGTTTTCTTGTCTTATTTATTTTTGTTTTTTGTTGTTGTAGGTGATGTACACATGTCAGAAGTCAAAATGTGTAAAATAGGCTTGTTTTTGTTATATTTTCTTTGAAGTGTCTAATATCACAGGTTTATGTTCTTTTTTTTTGTGTGTATACTTAAGCTCTGGGAAAACTAGGAAGCATTGTTGCAGAAACATTTGTGATTCTCAAAGTTTCCTCGAATGTTTTCCCATTTGCCCACCCGTGGAAACATTGTTGCGGAAACAAATTTTGCTTCCCGGGAAACAAGAATGTTTCCTATCAAGTTCAGAAAGATTTGACGTTTCCCTAGTAAGATATTTGTTGCGGAAACATTGTTTCTCCGTTTGCCCACCTTGGGAACCTTGGAAGGAAACAATGTTTATTTTTGATAAAGTAAACAAAAAATAAATAAATATCTGGGAAATGTGAATTTTTAGTAAAGTGAACAAGAAATAAATAAATACCTGTGAAATGTGAATTTTTAGTAAAGTAAAGTAAACAAAAAATAAATACCTGTGAAATGCAATAGCTTCCGCAGAAGAGTGTGCATTATTGGTACACCCACGTATGACACATCCGACTGGATGTGTAATTAAATAACTGAATACCTATGTATTTCACAGCATGAGCTCCACCTTTGAATTTACTATATGAGTAAATTCTTAAACACGTCCGAATTTATCATTATGATAAATTCGCGGCACATTTTGAATTTATCATAATAATAAACTCGCGGCACCTGACATTAAACCTAACCCTAACTACTAACCCCTAACCCCTAACATTTTAAACTTTTTAAACTTTTTTAACTTTTTTAACTTTTTTGAAAATCTAACTTTTTAAAGTTTTTTTGCTTTTTAAAACTCTTTTAAAACTTTTTTAAAACTTTTTTAAAACTTTTTTAAAACTTTTTTAAAAACTATTTCTTTGAAAATCTTGAAAATCTTCCTACCCCAACGCGACAACCCTCCCTTTTAGTGCCATTACATTTATAACAAAAAGCCTGGTCTAATGCTTGTGGTTTTATGATTAACTCTATTGATAAATTCAAAATGTGCCACGAATTTATCATATTAGAGACCTCAAGATTGACGTTTACGGCAAACGTCAAACCGCTAGCGAGGTGTTTAATTTTACAACTCTATTATTATAGCTTTTACACCAGTTTTGAAATATGTTAAACTTATTAAACTTGTGCTCTTTAGCAATGATTTAAGAAAGCAAATTAACCACTAGTCATGCCATTCACCAAAGCAGTAAATTAAGACTTGGCGTTTGAAGTTGACGTTTGGCGTATAAATTTCATGCTTTAACGGCTACAAGCCCTCGTAGCAGTTCAAGCATAAAATTTATACGCCAAACGTCAACTTCAAACGCCAAATCTCAATTTACTGCTTTAGTGAATGGCATGACTAGTGGTTAATTTGCTTTCTTAAGTCATTGCTAAAGAGCACAAGTTTAATAAGTTTAACACATTTCAAAACTGGTGTAAAAGCTATTATAATAGAGTTGTAAAATCAAAACCCTCGCTAGCGGTTTGACGTTTGCCGTAAACGTCAATCTTAAGGTCTCTATTATGATAAATTCGCGGCAAATTTTGAATTTATCATAATAATAAATTCGCGGCACCTAACACTAACCCCATGAAACCCTAACCACTAACCCCTAACCACTAACCCTTTTAACTTTTTAAATTTTTTTAACTTTTTTAAAAATCTAACTTTTTAAACTTTTTTCCTTTTTAAAACCCCTTTAAAACTTTTTTAAAAACTATTTCCTTAAAAAACTTGAAAAACTCCCCACCCCAGGGCGACCAGCCTCCGTTTTAGTGCCATTACATTTATAACAAGAGATCTTGTCTAATGCTTGTGGTTTTATGATTAACTCTATTGATAAATTCAAAATGTGTCGCGAATTTATCATAATGATAAATTCAGACGTGTTTAAGAATTTACTCATATAGTAAATTCAAAGGTGGAACTCATGTTGCAAATAACACTTTTAATTACAAAATGATCAATTTCCCAAACATATATATGCTAGGTATGTTATTATACGTAATATAAGCTTCAATTTAATGTGAAATTCAACCACAAACGCTTCGCAAAACGTTTTAAAATGTTCTTAAAACTAAAAGCAAACAATACATCAAATTAAAAACAAACTTACCTTCATTAACGCCAGCGACTTTGCTCCATTCTTTTAGACGTTTTCAGACGGTTTTTGGCTCTCAAAAAGGTTTTGAAATTTGCAAAATCTTGCAAAAACCGAGGCAAAAACACAATAAATTTGCTGATTTGCAAAAAATGTTTGTTATTTCGTTGTCGTTTAAATTTTAAATTTGACCAATCAGTGTTCGCTGTTCATGACAGTCCGCCACATATTTTGAGATCAGTGAGGATGACCACCCACTCAACATCGTTGGTCACCCACGCCCGCGATCATTGATGAACTTTAGACTTCGCTAATGCTTTCGTTTCTCCGGGTGTAAATAGCCGGGCGGAATTAGTACCCTCGCCCCGGGCTTACACCCTGAACGGCGCTCCGTGCCGTTGGCTCGGGGATAATTAATACAGTATTAGGTAATTCCTAAATTTAACAATATATATTATAACTCATAAATCTATAATAGATAATATCATCTATCTGTCTATGTCTATACTTTTCACTTTCATTTTTCATATGTATGTATGTGTAAACACTTTGTTATATAAATTTCAGCGGTGTATAAAAAAACTAGACAATTTTGAAACGGCTCTCAATTTCGCAAACCGCTAATTTCATGCAATTTTTGATAAATATACTTTGTTGGTGTACTAATTTACTTTTTCGTAAACATAAATGTTCCAGAGCAGGAGAGGGGGTCTTTTTAGCAGCATTAAAATAGCCTGCGCGCGAAATTTAAAAGTTTAAAATGCATTTTGAGTTTATGTGGAGACATTTGTTATGTGTTTTATCAATGGTCCAAATATTAGAAAATTTACTCAAAAAATCCTTTAATTAAATAACTGCTGAAACTCTTATAGTTTTTTGACACCAACACCTATCACGCATGCATTTACCTTATTTGCATATTGTTATTGTTAAAAAAGTAAAATAACAATATGTAAATTAGGTATATGCATGAATTAAGCATGCGTGATGTGGGCATTGGTGGGAAAAAATGAAAGTTTCAGCTATTTAAAGAACTTAAAATTAAGAAAATTTTCTGATATTTGGACCACTGATAAAACACGTAACACTTTAGTTTCTCGCCCATTAAATTAACTCAAAAATGCGTTTTAAACTTTTAAAGTTGTATTTATTCTACATTATAAATACCCAAACAATCTATATTTATCTATAGATTGTTTGGAGAGCCGTTTCAAAATTTCTACTTTTTTATACACCCTGTTTCACTCTGTATATAAATTATATATAATTAGCTAATTACCATCCATTTCCTAAGACGTCGATATTTTTATAGTAATTATCAACAATATGCTTAGTAGTGAAACACCAAATGAAGTCGTATTTGATCCTTTCTATAAAAAGAGAGAAACAATCAAGTTGGTTACATTATTTGTCCTGGCTCTCTTTAAACTGGTTTTACCATAGCCTGCGTAGCAGGCGTTTATCCCGTAAAAAACGCCTGCTATGCAGCCTAGTCTTATCAGCTAGGGAATTCGCACGCTAACCAAAACTTCTGATTGCATTGACTATATAGACTGTGCTGCGTGGGTGGACATACACCTACATAGTAAGACCTGTTCTAAAATATATAACAGTCTCAACCAAAGCCAGCAACCAAATATGTATATAACATAGCGTGGTAGCCAACAGGGCTAGTGCTCGATACCAAGGTAGTAGAGCAATGTCAATGATAAACATCTATTAAAACATTGTATAGACTGTACGAAGCGGTTACTCGATATTGTTTTCCCACTCGAAGATAAAAGTCATATCTTCGCGCGCCGCCGTGTAATATACTCTATATCTATCTATCTGGATACGACAACCATTTTGTTAACGGGTGTATATTTATCTTTTTTTCACCTGGAGCGAGGGGGATTCGGCACAATATTACCCGAAGCGATCATGTCGTCACTGAGGGTAATATTTCGCCGAATCCCCCGAGCCGAGGGTCTCAGTATAAATGGTATATTATACCAAAAATTAAAAGTCTCCAAAGTGACCAATCAGAAGGCTAAGTTTGACTTTTGATTTTTAATTTATTCAGTAATAGCCTACTCATAGTTTAACTTACACTTGTCGGTGTAGTGATCGACGTAACTTTTGTCGGTGTAGTGATCGACGTAACTTTTGTCGGTGTAGTGATCGACGTAACTTTTCCAGTTGTGTTTTTTGTCACAGGTTTGTTGGCAGTTGTGTTTTTTGTCGGCACAGGTTTGTCATCCTCCAAGGCGCTCAAGTTTAACGAGTCACTTTTTTCCTTTACCCAAAAAACTTGTCTAGTACGGGCTAGTGTTCCATAAAATGTAACGTTTTCTGTCTTCTTCATGTCTTTTGGTGGTTGCCAAAAGAAAACCAGATTTTGTTTGTCTGATGAGTGTGTGTGAGTCACGCTTGAATTTGAATGAAACTACATATTTTGGAAGAAAAGGATTGTTAATGACATGCAGTAAAATGACTATGTATAATGCCGTATGTTATATTAATGTTATGTTAACTTTCCATATCTCCGAACGTTGAAAGCTCAAATCGGCTACAAAAAAACATACTACTCGCTTAAATGTCTTATACTTTTTTGAGAAAAGTGAACGTGAAATCAGTTTGCATTTTTGTTATCATAGTACTTCAGTAGAGGTAAAATTTTAAAATTCTCAAATTTTCATCTATAAAGTCAAAATCACTAGTTAAATCAGAGTTGCCAGTATATCTAGTCTTGTTCGTTAATGCATGCATATATACTCTATGAAAATGTAAGTTGGCGACAGCTTGTGACAGAAAATGCCACCAAACAAATTTTGTTGCACATTTTCAGGTTTTGGCCAGCCGAAAACAAGCAGAAATTGTAATCATTGGTACGTGAGACTATTAACAGAATTCACTGAAATATTTAAGATTCGAAGTCGAGGCTATGCTTAGGGCTCATCGGCATGGTCTACATGATATCTCAAGAGTAGCGCAACGAACGAGTGAGATATCATGTTCAACACGAGAAATAAATCTGGTTTCCAAGCATCCATGTATTTTTCTGTTTATTATACAGGGTGTATCAAAAAAAACTGAACAGATTTGAAATTGCTCTCAATTTCGCAAAACACCTATTTGTATCTGGTTTTTTATATATATAGCTTCTTTGGGTACTTATAATGTAAAATAATGAAAAAAATTTCTCGAACTCAAATTCTGTGAACCAGGGGGCGTGTCTTTCCCAACAAACTAAAAATGGCTCGCGCACAAAATTTAAAAGCTGTAATCATATTTTGAGTTAATAGATTGAAAACCTGTCGGGTTTTTAATTACTGTACAAAATTTCAGACAATTTGGTTTAGTTTAAGCCCTTTAACTATTCATTTTGTTCTAAAAAGTCAGCCTTTCGCATGCTTAATTAATGCCTTTACCTAATTTGCATATTGCTGACATATGCAAATTAGCAAATGCATTAATTAAGCATGCAAATAGCTGATTTTTCGGCAAAATTGTAACTTTGCGTGAATAGTTAAGGAGCTTAAACTAAACCAAATTGTCTGAAATTTTGTACAGTAATTAAAATCCCGACAAATTTTCCATCTGTTAACTCAAAATATGATTGCAGCTTTTAAATTTTGTGCGCGAGCCATTTTTAGTTTGTTGGAAAAGACACCCCCCCCTGGTTCACAAAATTTGAGTTCGAGAAATTTTTCTCATTATTCTACATTATAAGTACCCAAAGAGGCCATATATATATAAAACCGGATACAAATAGCTGTTTTGTGAAATTGAGAGCAATTTTAAATCTGTTCAGTTTTTTTTTATACACCCTGTATATTTACATACAGCCTTACAATGTACGGTAACTAAAATATTTTTTGACATTTTCCATCCACCTTCGAGCATCTAAAAAGACAAAAATCGACTTGTTAGAGAAAAGCCGGGTTATGAATGGTTAGGGCAGGGGAGGGGCGGTTGTGGAAACTTGCAGTGCCAAGGTGTTGGATCACTTTTAGTGCAGTGATACAGACTGTGAGAAAGCCTCCAAAAAGATGGTTGTCGTGACCAAAAATATCACGGTGTGCGGTGGTGATAGAGCGCTTTACCTTACGATGATGAAGCGAGATGTTTTCTGTGTTGTTTTTTCCATTTTTTACCCAATTTTGAAATGACTGCCACTGATTTTTTCCCAATCTGTTTCATGTTGTGTGTGCAATATTCTTGTGTGAAATATATATTGTTGTGGTGTTTTGAAACTTAAATTTACAGTAATTTAAAACCATATTTACAAAGGTGATATTGAATCAGGTGCCGTCAAGAATACATTTAAATTAGTTAAGGCTTATGCCTTTTTCTTTGGCTGTACTTGCTAAGCCATTCCAAAGTGTCATTGTGTCAATGTGTCATTTCTTACTTCGTGCATGAAAATCGTCTTGTTGATTTTATATCGTTGTTTTAAGGGTTGCTAGTTTAATTCCTTTAAAACGTCGTCGGAGGTTACATCATATGTTCTACCAGTGATAATTCTCGCAGCACTGTTTTGTAATTTTTGTAACTTACCAATCAATCAAACCATTTACCTTGTCAATCACCACTATCTCCATCAATTAAATTTGTCCCTGACATCTGTTGATATGTTGTGCTGCTAAAATAGAAAAAGTTCACTATAAACAGTGGCACCACCAGGATTTTTTTTTTTTGGGGGGGGGGGATATAATTTGTCACAATTCTAGGGGGATCTGGGGGCATATGCTTCCCTGGAAATCTTTGAAACAGCATTTCCTGCATTGTGGAGGTACTTCAAGAAAAATATAAAGGTCTTAACACACCACCTTTTAACTAAATCATGATTTTGGAATTCTAGACAGTTTAATTCAGTGGGAGACATGACTACATACAATATAGAGCTTTAAAACTCCACTCTGGAAAACATTGGGGGAAGGTAGACTCCTCGCCCCCTGCCAGCACCACTGATTAAAAAAGACATAATCTAAAGTTAAATGCAACAAGGAGAAATTCTGGGATGGAATGGGACCAGAGTGATGCGGTAAAGTAGATAATGTGAATCTACATACCCCTTGTTAGTTTTTGACTTCTTTCTTTTAAATTTTCTTGACATTTGGCCAAATTTTTTGCCCTTTCCTTAACAAATATAGTTGTAGAAAGTTATGGTTTTAATACTTTAATATATCTGTGACTACTGAGGCATAAAAAAAATACCTGTGGTTCCGGTTCCCGACCGACCCTATTTTTTTCTGCCGACCCTATTATTTTTTCAACGCGATTGACCATGCAATCCTATTTTCTCCAGGTGGTTGCAGGCTGCTCATACAGCATGCCAAAATGGCGTCTGTTGTCACACTAATTATTGAACCAAATTGCCTAAATTCGTCCATAGGAAATATGCATCTCTGGTTAATATTGATGTCGGGACTCTACTGCAAATCGCCCAGCAAAAAAACACCAAAACCATGAAAAAAATATTCAAAAAAAATATTTATTTCCGACCTACCAACCCTAATTTTTTCATGATATGAAACCAGAACCACAGGTAATTTTTTTTACCGTGGATGCTTAGTCTCACTTAAAAAAGTTCAACTGGCTAGTTTGCCCACATCATATTTTGAGGCAGCTCGTGCAAAATGGTAGCCAATCTGATAACTACATCCAAACAAATATTGAACTGTCTGTGCCAGTACATATAAAGCCAATAATAGAAAGTTTAAGCTTTGCGTTATACGGCAAACGGCAAACGCCAGGCACAGAAAAAATTTACGGTATCAGGCAATAAAAAGTAAATGAACTTGCTGTTTTAAAACTGCAATGCATGATTATTCTTTCGACACGAGAAAGAAAATGTGAAACGAAAACATTCAATGAAAATTTTGCCAAGAAAGTTCAAACCTGTCATTTGCCTGTTCGAACCTGAACAATATAAGGAGAATTTCGATGTTTCCAGTGAAGGCCCTTTGTCTGGAGTTACTAGCGGGGGCCAGGAAAGTACATGAGCTTTTATATGCTTGAAACGTTGAAATTCTCCTTACATTTTTCAGGTAGTTGCAAACCCAAACTGATCTAATATAAATCCACCATTAACTTGCATTGTGTCCCAATGCACCCTATTTATTACTTTACTCTGTCTAACTACAGACAATTTTACTCCTCCAGGGGAGGTTAACCTTTCATTAAATAACAACGGTCAAACAAGGCTATGTATAACCTTGAATGGCATTGGGTTGATATAGCCCAGTAAGCCCAATATGACAGCTTACACTACAATGCACATATGTTAGCAACACCCCCTCATTATATTGTTCCAGAAAAATGGAAACATTTACATAAATATTTCGTAACAAAACATTAATTTTCTAAACCTTTTTTCCCACCATTCTTCGCCTCATCTCCATTACTTGGGATTGCATCAAAACCATGATCCTTGCCATTTACAGTTGGCCTCGGCACGGCAGTCTGTGACATGGCACCAGAGTGTGGTCTACAATCTGATATAGAAATATAAACAAACTTCATGGGCATATATTATGATTCAAGATAATGCAAGAGGAAGTCGGAATTAAAATTAACTTATTCATACACTTTACTGCACTTCCAGATCTATAAAACGTCTAATATTTGGTTCTAATTGAATGAAAGAACAAAATCCGGCGTTCTAATTGAACAAATTTGCTACATTGTACTCAATTAGTATTCCAAATGGTTAATTAATGACTACAAATGTTGTTTCAAAACAAGTCAATTCAAAACCTTTTGACCGGCGTCACACAAAACGGTAAAAATTATAAATTCTGTAAGTACCTTGATTGAAGCGGTACGATTTGTGTCTACTGCCTGTCCCTCTTTGCACAGAACTAACAGCGTAAAGAGGATTCTCCGTAGACATTCCTTCACTCTGTTGAGACGGTGACGTTCTATCATCCAAGTTTAGCCTCAAAAAGTCGTTTGGTAAAGTGCCTAATAAAGGCGGATGAAATTGAGAATGATGCTTTCTCGCAGGCGGAGTGTTTTGAGAAGAAACCGGGGTATTAAAAGCACTTAAGTGTGGCTCTAAAAACGTAGAATCGTATCTAAAACTCGGGTCCTCTTCGACCCTTGGCGTGTATGCCGGCGGTGGCTCAAATGTAGTCGCGGCTGTATCATCGTAGCTTGGCAAACGTACGTTTAATTCTGGGTCTAGGAGTCCATAATCCTCTGGTTCATTAATAGTTTCACTTTGCATAGCTAAGAGTTGATCAACAGTCGCGTCCACTAGACCATTATTTGCGCGCAGAACCATCTCGATAACTTCGTGTTCAAAAGTTGGAAACATCACTTTAAAATCAGACATTGCTTTGTTGAAGTCGAGTTGTCGCGACCGGGGAACGGCTTGAGACAGTTCCACCACCGTTCTAGAAGCCATTATTGATAATAAAAGAACGTTAATTTCTTTTCTTTAAAAATTAAGATTAAACCGACGAGTTATTATTAAAACGCCACTCGCTTTCCGCTTCGTCATTATTGTGGCTCATTTGTTTGTCTGAAACGCATATTTTGAAGTTTCAGAGTTTACAATCCATGAGAAACGGGCAGCTTCATTTTTTGCGGGTTTTTTGACCCGCGTTATAATACATACATCAAATGGTGAACGTGAAATTACGAACTCATAAAATTTATAAATGTCTTCATTCCAAAGACCAAAATATGTCTCTGACCGGCTCTCATTTCGTGTTTATACAGTATACAGTATAATCTCACATCTTGTAGCAAGTCTGCCAACAAGTTGTGTTCGCACTGCTTGTCCCAAGCTGTCAACAAGTTTTAATAGAACAAGCTGTTAACAGCTTGTAACAACCTTGTTGATATTATCAGACGTGTTGCAAGGTTGTTTCAACAAATGACAAATCTGATACAGTCATGATATAACAATATTGTTACAACCTTGTGTGGTCAACCTTGTAACATACCTGTTTGAATATGTTATATCATGACCGTATCAGACTTGTTAGAACAACTTGTAACAAGTCTGATTAAATCAATTGTTAACAGTTTGTTCCAAACTTGTTACAACAACTGGGAACAAGCAGTGCGAACACAACTTGTCGACAGCTTGTGAACAGATTTGTAACAACTTGTTTGCAGACCTGTAACAACTTGTGCGTTTTTCACTCATTGTCCTCATTCAAACTCAAACATTGAAATTCCACGTGAAAAATATAACCAAATGTGCGCAACAACTGCGGAACCGTCCAGTACGATCGTTGAAAGCAGTTGGCAACGTTTGGGCGATGTTATTTAAGGATTATTTGTTTTATTTCTCGCCGGACGCCAGACTTGTTTGGGTGTGTATTTTGAGAAAAAATTTAATATTTTGCCAAGTTTTTGACATTTTAGAAGGAAATTATCATGTATTTTTTTTAGTTTAAAGACTTTGCTCCGCTATAAATGTCCGGGGACACGACACAAACGGCAACGATTGTAAAAGGGGCGCCCACAAAATACGTGAAATTAAATGTAGGTGGATCGCTACACTATGTGACGCTGGGAACTTTGACAAAACAAGACAATATGCTACGAGCCATGTTCAGTGGTCGCATGGAGGTTCTCACAGACACAGAAGGTATTTGATTTTTTAAAGAAAATTTATAGTTTTAAATCGAATGATTGTTTTGATTTGTCAGCATGTTTCTATAATTTGTTACAAATATTGTGAATAGCTTTTTAGATTTATGTAACTTATTTTATTATAAAAATAAGTTGTCCATAGTTTACTATTAACTTGTGGTTAACCATTAAGATGCATAGCCCCCAATGCACCTTACTTTATTATTTTACTCTGTCTAATGCCAGACAATTTTACTCATCAAGGGGAGAGCGTTGGCACTCAATTGGTTAAAGTTGAGACAGGCCATCCTGGGAATGGCATGTGATCACATGTACATGATTTAGCACATGCATCAACTTATCAAGGAGTGTGATTTATCGCACACCTCCATTAACCCATTGGGTCGCATTGTGCCTACTTTAATATTTTACTTTGTCTAATGACAGACGGTTTTACTTGTCAAGGGGAGAGCACTGGTGCTCATTGGATTAATTAGCAATGTAAAATATGCTTGTGATGTTACTCTGAGTGTATATCCACACTGGGCAGGCTTGAAAAATATGCCTGGCCACAGTGGGAATCAAACCTACAACCTTTGGTATACTGGCCCGGTGTGGATATACTACTAGCCCGGTGTGGATATACACTCAGAGTAACATCACAAGCATCTTATTCACCTGAGTATATTACACCAATACAGAAAATACAATGTAAAATATATTCATGAAAACCCTACATATACAAGCTTTCATTGGTGGGGATGCAACTACCTGAAAAATATGAGAATTTTGACATTTCGAGCAAAGTAGTCCAACACAGTAGTCTAACTGTAGAAAATATTTCATATTTGTGAGACAATAACAATAATTGCCATGGTGCTAGATTATAATAAATCGTTTCCATCACCTGTGATCCCATTTTTCAAATTTTAGAGGTTAACCTCATAGTATCTCAGGAGTAGGGAAACAAGTCAGTGGCTTTTAAAAGACTTTATGGAATCGGAATTCCAGTGCATTCAGAATGAAAAAATGATCACACATGTTCGAATATTCATTACAGCTCTTCCTCCTGGGACGGCCTTGTATGAAGTAATAGCTTTGAATATCTGGTTATCTCAATTTTTAGGATGGATTCTTATCGATCGATCAGGCAAGCACTTTGGTTGCATCCTCAACTTTCTACGAGATGGTACGCTATCGTTGCCTGAAACTCGGCAAGAACTCGAAGAACTTCTGGCCGAAGCAAAGTTTTACTTAATAGAGGACCTTGTGACGCAATGTGAAGAAGATTTGAAAAAGAAAGATGACGTTCTACCGTGTTGTATTGTAAGACTAGCAACATCCGCAAAACAAGAAAAATTATTGGTCAGCCAAAGTGATAAGGTATAAAGTGATTTATTAGCAGATTATTTAATAAACTGTAACATGTTATTAAATAAACTTGATCGTATTTTGCAGCCTGTGGTTAAATTCTTATACAACAGATCAAATAACAAGTATTCCTATACAAGGTATGTAGAGCCAGATCGCAAGATCTCGTCTTTTGCTAGGTGGGATTTCAGTCAAGTGGCATAAAGTTTTCCATATATATGAACGTTTTATCCTACCTGACCAGGACGGGCATTTTTTTTCTGATTTTGACCTATAGTGTAGTATTCAACAGTATTATTGGAAAATAAAAAAATGGGTCATTCCAGAAAACAACCATACCTCCAGTCCCCCAAAGAGGACATTGGAAGTTAACCCCCCTACCTTCTTCGGATGTCCTAATACACTTACTATTATCAGAAACAATTTTTCTCCCCTCCCCCCTGGATGGCAGGAACTTCCTCTGTGGGGGGAGTGTGGATCTCATAATAATTATATTACGAGATGTTCACTGACCAAAATGATTTATTTAGAAAAGTTATTGGTCAGCCAAAGTGATACTTGTAACAAAAACTATTATTTATTGAAAATAATTCAGGAGTTTTGATTGGCTAATAGCTGTCGGTGAAATTGTCATACCCGCTTATGACATCAGCGTGGAATATTGAAAACAAATATACCACGTTTGACGTAATTTCGTGGTATATTGAAAAACGATGCAACACGCTATGACGTCACACAGCTTTTGCCAAAAGCAAGATAATACAAATGGCTTCCCCGCATGCCTCGGTTTGTGTTCTCTGCCTCGGCCTTCGGCAGATAACACAAACCTTGGCCTTAATTGCATGATTCCTCACGTCCTACTCGACCTCATTCAATAATTGTTTAATAATATTTCAATTACAACAAAAAATATTTCAAAGAGACCATATGTTTAAGTAATGTTGTCCAACCGAAGACACACCAGGCTCCATGAACAGGCCCTTGTCATTCGGTCGGTCAGATACTCGGTTGGTTAGTCTATTGCAAACCGGTCAGTTGGTCATACACTCCAAAATATTACAATTTAGCAGTGGCGGAAATTCACTTTTTTCGGGGAGGGGGGCAAAGCCTCCTAAATTTCTGACAAAACTTTCAAATTTCCAACAACCCCCAACCCCCCGTTTGCACTCGAAAAGGCTGTTTTTAGCCCTCTTTTAGGTCACAATTTCCAAAAATTCGTCATTTTCCATGAAGGTGGGGGTGCCCCCCCCCCCCCGAGATTTCCGCCACAGAATTTTAGTGCTGCTTGAAAATATATAATAATGTTATTCAACAATGAAAAGTCGTCACTACAATGATGTCAAGATAATTAAGAAGTGTTAACACAATTAGGCTAGAAGTGATAATAAGCTAAAAATTTAAAAGCTAGTGTTCGCTGCCAAGAGGAAATTTAAAGTTAATAGTATTTGCGCGGTAAAGATTAAATCAGGACGTCTACTTCCTTAAAAGGTTTATGAAAAATGATGTTCCAAAGTTTAGCATGTTTTGCGCGACATACGATCGCGAGGGTGGCACTACGCAACTTCTTTGTTCCTAATTATGGATTTTTCCCTTTTTTAGTCACTCAGATGACAATCTTTTGAAAAACATTGAACTTTTTGACAAACTTTCGTTACGTTTTCACGAGCGAATTCTGTTTATAAAAAATGTGATTGGAGGAGGAGAAATCTGTTGTTGGACTTATTACGGAAACGGCAAAAAAGTTGCGGAAATATGTTGTACGTCAATTGTCTATGCAACGGAGCGAAAACACACGAAGGTTGAATTTCCTGAAGCAAGAATATATGAAGAAACATTAAATGTTTTGTTGTACGAGAAAGTAGGAAATAGTCAGCCTGACGCGGAATTGTTGCGGGCTTTGGGGACCACTCATGTTGTCGATGATGAAGAGGACGGGCCTGTTCGCAGGCATAGGAGTGGTGTAGGAGAATAGTAGGGTTATATGTGTATGGAACAATTAAATTTATAAGTTATATATGCGAGTGTAGTGTTACTCATATTGAAAAAGTCTTGGTGACATAATCGTTATTGAGCTCATTGTCAGGGCAGGAAAAAACGAATTTTCTTCCTGGGAGCACAACCTGGAGACAAATGTTTCCTACAGACCAACGGAGTATTTTTGTGCTAAATCTGCATGTGCATAAACATATAGTGTTCTAGCTGACCATGGTTTTAAATTCAAGGAATAATGTCTGTCAACCATATGTTGTTGCGTCCATAGTGGGACGTGGGTGTTAAGGTTTCCTTCAAATCTTCAATAGCAAATTTTCATTCGAACGAATTTCCTGCAGCTGTTTAACATTTCCTGCGAGCAGTGCTCGCGTTCTCGCCTATTTTTTCCACCCCTGCTCATTGTTATAAAGTCCAATGACAACAGCAGACTCAACAAACAGTCAACAATTAGACCACCAGGTTGGAAATCAAAAGCTGGTCATTTTCAAGAAGGCGGACTCATACCATTACACATCTGACGGACTGGGCTAATCAAATCTTAAATGCTCATTCAAACATTGCAATTCCACGACAAATCAAAGACTGGTTATTTTCAAGAAGGCACACTCACACCATTACACATCTGACGGACTGGGCTAATCAAATCTTAAATGCTCATTCAAACATTGCAATTCCACGAGAAATCAAACGCTGGTTATTTTCAAGAAGGCAGATTCGTGGTATACAAAGCGCTATTGGGAGACACCAGAGACATTTGGCATTATCCTAATGTTTGAAATTTTGCAATCCAAAACCAAATTCATCCTCGTACCCGGTTTTTTTTTACCGTGGCACCAGAGTGTGAGAAAAAACAGCCTTGGTACGAGGTTTAACCAAATTTCAGTACCCTGTGGATATCGGGATACTTCCAGGGGTGGATCTACCGGTGGGGTGCAGGGGGTGCGCAACCCTCTCCCCTGGTGGTGTTCAGCACCCCCTTGAAGAAAACTCTGGTATTCCATATTTGAGTTGTGAATACTACTTATTATATTGAAACGATTGATTTTCGAATACGCGAGAAAATATTCACCATACAACGTAGCACTTTTCTTAAGTTTTGCCCAAAAATACAAATACTGCGGGGACAAATTTAACGAATAAATGTAGTGCTCAGAATGCAGCAAATGGCATTTCAAGGTTTCACATTTCAAAAATTTTCTGGGGGGAAATGCTCCCGGATCCCTCCCTCCACCCCCTAACAAATCAGGCCAGATCTGCCCCTGGATACTTCAAAATTCAGACCCTGTTTTTGTCATGAAAAAAGGAATAAAAAAACCATTTATATGCATCAAGACTGAAATATCCTAAGACTTTAATAAATACTATTTAAAAACAACACTTATAGCTCAGACGGACAAACCAAGGCCGCTTTTGCATATTTTTGATGTTTTCAAACCAACCAAAACCAATCGCCACCGGGTTATTTTGATTAAGAGGCAATTTTTTTCAATGTCACGTATTTGCAATGAAAAGTGTTCAAAACCTAAAATCTCTTTGGCGTTCCTCTCAAAATTACTTTGTTTTAGCTTTATTCTCTAGTTTATAGAGTTAGCTACCTTTTTAAATGCATCTGCCGGTTGAGAAACATAAAATAGTTAAAAATTGTCAATTAAAATACAATTATCAATGATGCTTTAAAATTGACGCCATATTTACAGCCATATAAACAAAACTTACTGAACTTCAGACATCATTTTCTCTTTGGCGTATCATCTAAAATCTCTTCATTTTGGCATTATTTTACAGATAAAGCACTAAACATACTTTTTAAGTTTGTTTGCCGATTGAGAAACGTATCGAAAAATACAAATTTTGAATTTAGTCATAACCTCAAGCGATATATTATACGCATTAGTTTTGAGCGCGTGTTACATAACATACAAAAAAATCTCCTCTCAAACATTTTCTGGTTATGAACTTACTACATAGCCGTAGGTCTAAATAGCCGGCTGCTGATTGGTTTTAACTTAGTTTGAAAACAATAATACGCAAAAGTGGCCTCGGTTCGCCTGTTCGAGCTGTAAAATACAATGAAAAATAAGTTTCAAAATACACTCTATTTAGATTGGCTTCTAGATCGCATTGTGTAAGGTGACTGGTGTTTACTACCAGCCAAGTTACCAGTCTGGACACCCTGTGCAGATGTGGGCAAGGTCGAAGCCACTGTACTGACTGCTGTCAAACTGGGCGTGGCAGGTGGCGACGTCATATGTTGCCCAACAACAACAGCAGTGGTAGCTGGTTTATTTACAGGTGGTTTGGGTTGTGAAGAGTTATTACCAGTGAGTACGGGTTGCTGGAGTGTTACCAGTTGTATTTGGGTGGTAGGTGTGGCCTGTAACTGGCTTTGTATGCCCTAGAAAGAGAAAGATCTATAGTTACTTTGTGCAATAGAAAATTGCGGTTGTATTGTTATGCACCGGTCACAAGGCCGTTAGGGTTGGTTTTGAAAGCCTTTGAATAATAGCGAAATAGCCGCGTAACAATACTTTTCAACCATGAAACGACTGCCATGATATAAGGCGATGTTTACTGGCTATAGTAGATAGCTTTCCGCAGTGACGCGAAAAAGGATAATCGTTCCATGTTTCGCGCACCAATATAGTAAACGTTATGTAATGGATATTATAGTGTACTGCAAAGTCAACTGGATACCTCCATATACATGTATACACACCCTAACCTTAAACTAACCCCAACCTATATTAGCCATTCCGAAGTTGATGAGAGGACTGGGGACGAGTGTTAAAAAGTGCCCAAATTAAGAAATGAACCAAATAACTAAAATGACCACCTCAAAATTAGTCAGTATACAAAATTTGAAGATGTCTACATGAATACCCTTCGAATAACAAGCTTTCTAAAATTGTGAAATTACTGATTAAAAGATTGTTTTTGGGACGCGCGTCCCAAAAACAAAAATTACAATACATTTCATAGTAAATATCACGATTTTCGAAAGCTTATTATACGAAGGATATTCATGTAAATGTCTTCAAACTTTGTATACTGACTAATTTTGAGGTGGTCTTTTTAGTGATTTGGTTCATTTCTTAATTTGGGCACTTTTTAACACTCGTTCCCAGTCCATTCATCAACTTCGGAATGGCTAATTGGTGCGCGAAACATGGAACGATAACCCGAAAAAGCACCTATCCCGGCTATCCGATACGGAATGTACAACTATCAGAAGCTGAGCGAAACAACATCTCTCCGTTGCAATAATTCCTCTGAAAAAAGCGTTTGTAAAAGGTACAGATAGATGTTTTTCATGTCGCTACGGAAGGCTATCCGGAGCAGTTGTCATTTGGTGGCAACCTAAATTCGCCCCCAAGTAGGAACGCATGGACAAGAATATTTCACATAATGAACATAATTTTTACCACCATCCGCTGCACGAAATGAAATGTGCTAAATGAATCCCACGAATCACGAATGGCAGGATCTTACCGGAGAGGCTGATTTTGCTTCAGTTGTCGTGGTAGTCGGCTGTGCTTGACTAGGTTGGGACGCTTGCGGTTGTTGCTGTCTCTGTTGTTGCGGCGATTGTTGCTGCAATTGTTGGTGTCGTTGTTTCAAGAAGGTCAAACGCTGTTGTTGTGTTAATGTCTGTGTAATATTCTGCAAAGTCTGTCCAGGCAGAAGTTTCACAACATGTTTAGCGGTGAGGATACCTTTAACAAAAGTTAATAAAAACTTTACTTTTCAGACCTGTTTCAAGGAATAATTTTTACTAAACTAAACTAACCTTATTTATACTGGATAGCTCTATCAGTTCTAAACTGTTCTCCTAGAGGTACACTGTGGAAGATCGTCTATTGGCCCAGTGTTACTACAGGAGGAAAACTCAACTAAACTAACCTTATTTATAGTAGATAACTCTATCTGTTCTAAATTGGACTCTCTAGAGGTTCAGTTAGGGAAATCCCGTGTTGATTCACCACAGTAGGACAGTTTTATAAGTTCGCTTGAGGTTTGTAGTATTAGTTATTGTAACAATGTTACTACTGGCGAAAACCTAAACTTTAGTTATTTCTACTGGGTATAGCTCTATTATTTTTAAACTGTTCTCCCTATAGAGGTCCTGTGTGGGGAATCCTTGTTGATCTAGCGTTACTGCAGAAGGAAACTAAACCAACTTTATTTAACTGGATAGTTCTTTATGCCTAAACGGTTCTCCCTAGAGGTCTAGAAAAGGTCATCTCTAGTTGGTCCAATCGGTTACCATACAGGAGTAAACCTAAACTAAACTTTATTTATACTGGATAGCTGTGTAAAAGCCATTTGAATAGCTAGGGGAAACGGTTTAGAGCTACAGTTAGTTTAAAAACCCGAGGAACTCAAATTCTAACATACCTTGTTGTCCAGATGCTAACTGTACTCGCTTGATTTGTTGCGTAGTTGCCGGCTGTTGTTGTGTTACTTGTTGTGCAATAACCTGTTTATCTTGTTGTTGTTTTGGTGTTTGTTTGGGCTGTTGTTGTGAGATGGTTGCTTGAGGCGTTTGTTTCTGTTGTACTTGTTGCACTTGTTGCTTAGGTTGTTGTTTTTGCTGGATTATTTGTTGCAGTTGCGTTTGCTGTTGCACCTGTGTTGCAGCTTGTTGCAACTGCTGTTGTACGGGACGTGCAACTGTCATCGTTTGTGTGAGGCGTGGTTGATCGATTTTCGTCCCCACTGGCAGATGCTTCTGAGGTGCAGGGGATGCAACCTTTCTCACGGTTTGTTGCACAACTTGTTTTCCTTGTTGTTGCACAGGTTGTTGCCCCTGTTGCTGACGACGCTGCTGTTGCTGCTGCATGTTGTCCATCAAGAGACGCTTCTGTAACATGTTATATTGCTGAGCTGTGATCGTTTTGGTTGTGCCCGCATGTACGAAAGTTTTGCCTGGGATGATTTTCGCTGCGGAAACAAAGAAACTCATGAGAAATAGGGGGAGGCGGTTAATGGACAAACCAGAAAAAAACGATGTTTTTTGAAAACCGATTGTTGTTCTAGGCAAAAAATATTGAAACAAAATGGCACCTTGTCAATTGCTTACAAGTCTTGAACGTGTAGCATGAAGTTTAATCCAACTGTAGTATATTTTGACTAAGTTATAAAAATCTTATTTTTTCGGGGTTTTTTTCAGACAGTTTTCGGTTTACCCTGAACTAAAATTTTTTGGGATCACTTTCTATGGGACTTCAGGGACATATAGGGTTAGGTTAGGGTTAGAGGGTTATCTATTGAGAGAAATCGATGTAGTTTTCTAGTTTTAGAATGTTTATAAGGAAATGCAACTTTACCTGTTGTATGTACGGTGTCTGGAAGTCTTTTCCCAATCTAGCGTAAAAGATTTCATTTTACTTTGAACACACAGTAATATAATATATGTGATAAGAATGCTTTCAATTTGACTTTACAAAACACAACAGGTTTTCTCTGGGTATTTTGTTTTCTGTCTGCAGTAACGCTAAATCAACAAGAGGATGAACCTCTAGGGAGAACTATTTAGAGCTGCACACGCAAAAATCTCACAACTTGTCAACAAGATGTGTTCGCAACAGGCTTGTAGCAAGCTTGTCAACAAGTTGTAACAATGCTGTTATTTTATCAAGTTGCTACAAGGTTGTCACTCACAACTTGTTGACAAATTGTTGAATTGCAGGACGATAACAAGTTGTTGAAAAAACTTGTAACAAGTCTGTTCAGCTCAACAACCTTGTAGCAAGTTGTCAACAAGCCGTTGACAATTTGTCAACAAGCTGGGAACAAGCAGTGCGAACACATCCTGTTAACAAGTCGTTGAACATCTGTCGAAAAGCTGGCTACAAGCCTGTTGCGAACACATCTTTTTGACAACTTGTTGGAACAGAATTGCTACACAAATCTGCTGTAGGTTTGTTACAACTGGTGCGCTTTTACGTGTGTAATAGGGCTATATCAAGTAATAGGGCTATATCGAGTTATTTTTGGTCCCCCCCCCCCCCCTATGACAAATAAGGGATGACCTTCCTGGATCTCTAAGAAAAGCAGTTAAAGCAGAACAGATAGATCCTATCCACACTGTTAAAAATCCCAGAGTATTTTGTCGTCCAAAAAACTTGTGTGAAATAATACATCCACATGAAGTCACTCAATATTTTGAGAAAAATGACTCAAATTTATGAGCAAAAATTTACTCATAAATTTATAAATATATGTTCACACAACAAATATAAATATATGTTCACACAACAAAAGCTAACCTGAGCCTGCGAAACAACTGAAGAACTCGAGGAGACTAGCGGGGTGTTTGGCAGTCGAATATTTCCATTTGCAGTCGATGCTAAGAACTGGACAGCGGTTTCGTGTGGGGCCAATGTCCGACTTCCCTCGGATGTGACCACAGCCTTCTAAAAAAATGAGAATAAGCAATATAATTTGTGGGTTTGGATTAAATTTCATACACCCAAGTCCGTAATACACCCTTTCGATAAGTGCGCCACACATAGTTTTTGGTCTTGGAGCCTCGCTCTCATTTCTAAATTACGCAAGGTGATTGGCTCACGATCATAGATATCTTATATACACTAGATAGCGCATTTCTTTAAGTAAAATTGAAGCCAAGAATATTCCAGCGGTTACCCCCATTTGAATAGATGGCAGCCATGTTGGAGTTTCCCACTCGCTAATAAACGCTTAAAAAACAACAATAACTTTCATCATTTGAACAGTTTGAAAATGTATTTGGAATAGGTTAATTTAGCTTAATGTTTAAGTTCCCTGTTTAAGAAATAGAAAACATACGAGTCTTCTCATGGGAATATCCCGATTCTGCAATCACGGCTTGAATTTTTGAATTGCAGAATAATTAGATGCACTATCTAGTGTATATAAGATATCTATGTTCACGATTCATGAGAGCGAGGCTCCCAGGCCAAATAACGTAATCATCGAAAGGGTGTATTGTATTCTTTGCTACTAACAAGTGATTATTTACCATGTTTGGAAGTGTTACCGCAGGACTACTAGAATGAACAGCGATACGTTTATTAATGGCGGCAAAATGTCCCGTCAAATTTCCAGGTTGTGGCTTGACAACAATACTCGAGCCTGTAGCACCTTTGGCCAGCGTACCAGCTTTGACCAGCGTAGCCTGGTGTGACGTTGCTACCTGGATGTTGGCAGTCGGCTTTGAAGTCAATGTGGCAGGCTGGCAAAATATAAAAGATGAGATGACGGAGTAGATAACTTATTGGTTTCATGACAGAAGGTAAACAATTTTCTCATTTCAGTTGGTCGAGACGTTTTCAATGAGGCTCAAATTAAAAGACACACGCATCTCAACAAAATACATCGCGATTACTCGTCATATGAAATATTGCTTATGACTGGAAACCAGGTTGCAGCCTGCGAGTAGGCTGTCCTGCCCTATGTTTGCGGGCTACGTGTTACAGTGCTATAACTTAGCGCTTGCCTGGGGGTAAGTAAAAGTAATTATGGGCAAGTAGAAGTTGCTTCTTGGTTGACCGATCAAACAAGTTATTTTAATGCTTTGCCAGAAAGTAATTTCTACACAAAATTATTTGCTTGTTTATGGTATGCAATCTGTTTTTGATTCTTTCTTTGTAAGTCAGCTGAAATCAACACCTCATGATCAAGTCTTCAAATGACTTTGATAAGGAAAACATAAGATTAAAATGTCGATTAATCAATCCTCACTATTTCACCAATTTGGAGAGGAATAGTGTGTGACAACCACTTGTGGGGGCGGATTTTGATTCGAAGGAGTAATTTTTGGGTCTGGGAAGGTTAACATAACATAACATAACATAACATGACATACTATTTCTAGTTGTATATGTGATTCAATCTAAGTTATATATAGTGTTCACTGCATAGTTAGTATGTATAATAGATTTTTCATATTTGTAAATATTCTAACGGCCCCTTGAAAAGCAGTTTAAACTGAAGGATTACCGTTTTTAAATAAGATGAATGATAATAATAATTAGCTTCAAATTTTATTAATACGCGAGGGCAAAACTAGGCCTAATGGCAAATGAACCTTACTCCCGGGCAACTAAGTCTTAGATCACTGTGTTACGAGAAATGGCGAGTAACGCTGTCCCCATATACATTAGCCTGCTCACAGGCTCTATTCTGCCTGACAACGGCCTGCAAGCAGGCTACATATACATAGGCCCTAATAAACATTCCTACCATTTGAGCAGTAGTGATTTTCTGGTTAGTCGTGGTCAAGATCTGAGAATGAGCGGCCAGTCTTTGATTTTGATATCCTGGTACTGCTTGAGACTGCTGTTGACCAGCGGCTGCAAGTTGACCAGGTTGTTGAGCCTGCGATACCGTAATCTTGGTGACAGCGGGTGCGGGAAGTTGTGACAGAGCATGCGCGGGTTGTTGGGCCTGTTGTGCTGGTTGTTGTTCTTGGGCTGGCTGTTGTTGTTGCTGTTGTTGTTGTTGCTGCTGCTGTTGCTGTTGTTGTCGCTAGAGGAATAAACATGCTTTGTTTATGGTAAACACGGGTGAAACGATGACTAACTTTTTATACCTTGTAAGTCTGGTTCACACAATCAAAGCTTCTGTGATCACAGTAGGAATTTTGCAAAGGTAAATTCTAAGTTTTGAAAGATTTATAAGAAATGCTTCTCTGGAATTATTGGCCCTATCAAGCCTTCAATTAATTAAAATGCGCGGGCGGTGTTGTACTGCGACATTGAACTACAGAGTCGAGCATTAAAGCCAGTCGCGGGTTAAATTGTTTTTGAAGGGCAAAATCTTCCATGAAGGGGTTGCTATGAAGTCATAATTTTAGGACAGTCGGAACATTGCTATATATGGTAGCACCCGTTTACATATTGGGGGCAAGTTGCCCCTTCTCCCCCCCGACCACTCGGTCTATGGTCAACGTGATTCTACTGCAATGTTCTAGTTAACTAGTATAGAATTCTACAATCTTGATCATAAATCATTGGCAAAAGTATAGCAAACACCTTAAAATCATTATGATGTCCCCTTCGCCCTATGATCAATGTTGTATGTGTGTTAAAAGAACGATGAGAAAAGAAAGCATTGATAATTGGGGAACGGGAGGGGAGTAGAAAGTTACTCAGGACTGTAGTATTGATGTTGTTAAGAAAGAGTCTTCATGATAACTTACTAGAGCCTCAGCCTTCTCTCGCTGTATTCTCTCCATCTTCTTCGCAGCAACCCTGGCTGGATCAAGATACACATCTTCAACTGTTGCACTACAAAGAAATTTTGAATGAAGATTTACAGCAAGTATTTAAATAACGATTGTGAATACCAAATTTTAAAGGCACGTAAGCAAGGTATATAAGACTTGACACAAATTAATGACAGGGTGTTTTAACTCCAGTCTGGATGTCGCAGGCTAACTGAAATTCCCAATTTGATTAAATAGCCGAATCTTCTGGCTAAGACCCAGTCAGTATGTCAATATGCTTACCCTGATGTTGAACTCGCTTGTTCAGCTGATTTCTGATAGGGTTCAGTGCTTAGACTAAAAATTTAAAAAATAGTTATAATTTTATGCATTGGAGACTTTTTCTTGCTTTGGCAATATTCTGCAATGGATAAAGTTGGAATGCGAATATTATATATGTGAATTTTTCTAACTTCACACTTACACGCGTGAAATGTGTAAGACTTCAGAAATAAAAACGAAGCAGAAAGCACCATAATATGAAACCATACTTTTACACTTTTAAAATATTATTCTGTTGTAAAGGACTCGCATTACCTACTTACTGACCTTTGTTTCACGCTTGGCTTTCGTTTCACTGTTGTTTTCTTGACGAGTTCAAAGAGCGATGAATGATGCGAGGTGCTGGATCGACCACCATCGAGTGTTTGAAGACCGTGCAGTCTGGTACCTTGACCGTCTTTTGGCTAACAATCAAAGATATAAAACTAATTAAAAATACATTTAAATCTCTCCCGGAGGCCAACTCTCTAATACATGGCCTAAAAGCGGTTTTCCACTAGGCGAAATTTTTCGATCAAACCGAAATTTCTATTGTTCAAATTCAAAAGATTTCTGTTTAGTTCCATCTGAGTGCTTGTAAGACAAAAGAAAATTTCGATTCGGTCAAAAAATTTCGCCTAGTGGAAAACCACCTTTAAGCTTCCACTTCCACTCAGGAAAATTTTCCACAAAAAGAAAATTTTGTAAGATGTGATTGGCCGACACAAATTTCCCTGAAAATTTTTAACAATGATATTTTCGGAAACTTTTCTGTCCGTGGAAATTGTTCTTGAGTGGAAATTTGGTTCTACTGGTAGAACATACTTTTGGCAGTGGTTGGTTGCCTGCAACGGCTGAATATTCTGGTGGTGCATATTTTAGTTTTGTTTTCATTTTTTTCTGATTTTCGTCGATTAACTGTAAAAAACCCAACATATATGAATAAATATGGCAAGTGTAACGTGTGTCTTTCACTTTGGCAATCGGCGTTTTAAAACTGTATAATATGCAGTGAGTGCCTGATTATAATTTACTCTTATTCAATGTGAGAAGAGTGCTTCTAGTTTGACTCTACCACATAGGCGTACGAGACAGGGTGCGCGGGGGGTGTTGGATGCAGCCCCTCTCCCAGTCACTGCTTAGTTGGGCAGATGGGGAAATTGCTAGGCCTGCCAGCTTCGGTATATTTATTTATCCTTCAAAAACTCATTAATAATTCATGAAGCAATTATCCAATCTTGAGTAAGAAATTAGTCACGTGCATACGTCTTTATACCAGCTAAAGAACACTTTAACAAAAGACCATTGTTATGCAAACTATATAAAGATTTTTATATAAAGATTTTTATATAAAGATTTTTATATAAAGATTTTTATATAAAGATTTTTATATAAAGATTTTTATATAAAGATTTTTATATAAAGATTTGACTTATTATGCATACGTTTTTGAAGTTTAAAAAACTCGCGGGTCGTGTTTTATTAGGTCTAAAGACACTCGCGCTGCGCGCTCGTGGCTTTAAACCTAATAAAACACTCCTGCTCGTTTTTTAAATAGTACATAAAGAATAAACCCATGATAACTTCGGGCAATTTCCCACAAACGCCTGCAATCTTTTGTCTGCTGCCCCGAATCCCTCCCGTACACCTATGCTCTGCCAAACACCACGTGTTTCCTCGGGGGACTCCGCCAGTACTTACACTGAAGAAATGACTCTCACTGAATCTGTACTGAGAAAGCCTGAATTAAGTTAAACTACTAACATTAGCTTTAGTTTTATCTTAAGAAATGCGATACGGGATTTCTTACCGGAACTTTGCCCTCTTCCCTGGGCATAACTACATTTATGTAGCGATCTCGACACTAGCAAATGAAAAAATAAGCATTTAGTAATACTCTACTTACTAATAGACTATAATACTGTAAAAACTATAATACATTATGGTACTGTAATAATCATTATATTAATAATTTACTTTAATCATTACTCAATTTACAATACTTTTGTCCAATTAAAAAAACATTTCCATAATGACTTCATATTGCACTCGTCCTTCGGACTTTTGCAATTTTTATCGGTTTTGGAAAACTCACTCGAAATTTGAACTTTCCAAACTGCATTCGAAACCATACTATTACCTATATACCTTCCTATACCAAATATACTGAACAGCAGCAGGCCTACCTGTCTAGCAGTTCTGTAGGTGCGACTGCTGGCGTTCACAATATCACTGACAAGCAGCCAGTTTGGTGTGTGACCAAGGTCTGTGACTGTCAGGTCTATTGGCGTTTCTTGTAAGTAATGAATAGCCTACATCAAAACAAAACGATAGTTAAATACAATACAAGATAAAACTAGGAAACAGTCAACTCTCATCAACTCTCATGCAACTCTTGTTCTCGCGTTTGACCGGGGCACGCGAGTTGAGAAAACTCTCATGCAAACTCTCGCTTCTCAACTCTCATCAATTCTCATGCAACTCTTGTTCTCGTTTGACCGGGGCACGAGAGTTGAGAAAACGCTCATGCAAACTCTCACTTCTCAACTCTCATTCTAGTTTATAATATCCAGTCAACTGTCATCAACTCTCGTGCAACTCTTGTTCTTGCTTGACCGGAGCATGAGAGTTGAGAAAACTCTCATGCAAATTCTCGCTTCTCAACTCTCATCTTCATCAACTCTCATCTTCTCAACTTTCATCTCGTTTGAGCAGGGCATAACACAGTGAGTGGTAAGAGGTAGCGCGGCCTTGTTTCAGTTTGCCGACTATTGAGGCTATTTCTAAATGAAAATTATTTTTTACATGTAAACCAAAGTTTTATAATGGTACCTGTAGCAAAGCCCAGTCTTCGTGAACATACCAATCCGGACCAGTGTCAATCTGAAAAAAATCATTTTACAAATGAACAACGTTATTTCAAAGCACAGAAATGCGAATACAAAAGGCTTGTTGACGAATTGTGTCAAGCAAATTTAAAGTTGTCAATACCATTTGCATATCTACTTGCTGTCTCATGGCGGCAGCCACAGGATGATGTTGCTGGGGTTGCTGCTGTTGTTGTTTTGTCATCTTCATTTTCGCTTTCTTCGCGTTACTCAAGGCATTTCGACGGCTCTTAAAGAACGCTTCCAGCGCACGGCGATCGAACATTGAATGCGGTTTACGAAGACGACGTCTATTTACGTTGAGAATCAAGAGTTAGAAAACACGAAACAGATTGGATGGTATTAAAAAATCATCTCAATACCATCACTCGAGAACTTATCAAAATTTTATCGAGATATTATTGTACTACAATTCTACTTATCTACGATAGACAACTTGCATGTTAGACTAATTTTTTATCTTGGCCAAAAAAAAGTACATTCCCGAAAAGAACTTATTAAAATTGCAAAATTTGGCTACGAAAATATAGCCTTGCGAAGTTTGCATATTTTTTTGTATATGTTTGTATTACGTGTGGAAATTGTTACCATTTTTGAGCCGAAAATATATACAAATATATACAAAATTTGCGAACTTCACAGGGCTATATTTCCTCATTTTACAACAATGGCAAGGAGTGTACCGAAATTTCGTATTTTGACATCAATTTCAAGAATAACACTATGGTGTTACGAACTGATAACTCAATCTCGTATCCAGAGCAATGTCTGTGCGCGGGCTAGGATGGCATTGGCTCTGGGGAAATTGAATTTTCCTGTGCTGTGATTGGTTCAACGTTTATCAGTAGTGCATGCCGACAAAGAACCGGAACCCCTAAATTTAGGGGTTCCGGTTGTCAATTTCCCCAGAGCCAATGCCATCCTAGCCCGCGCACAGGCATTGCTCTGGGTACGAGATTTCTGATAACTTGGTTAGCGTCTGGAATAGCTGGGGGGGGGGGGTATAAAAGCTGTTTACGACCTCATAGGCCAAATGATTTAAGTACTTGTTCTATATATATTTAAAAAACTCATTAATAATTCAGGAGCAAAACACAAAGAAAAATCATAAGCGTGTCGTGGTTATATATGTGATATAAAATCATGTTAGTTTACATAAACTTTAGCTTTGATTTTCTCGGTTTAGACAAAGTTTATTTTAAAAATTACTTCGCCAATGAACTCTTATAAGCTGAGTCGTTTTTTAAGCCATTTAAAGCACGCGTAGGAGTGTTTTATCACATATAAAACACTCCGCTACGCGTCGTGTTTTATATGTGATAAAACACTCCTACGCGTGCTTTAAATAGTACATAGAACTCACTGAGAAATAAACAAACTCTCCAGGAGTTAATACCTGACAGAATCCTTATAAGGAAGTCTGAATGAAACAGTACTTCGTTTTCCGTGTTTCTTGTAGTCGCCCAGAAAACGCCTGAAAAAATACAGAAAGCTGCTGTAGTAGAAGGGAAAGATTAGGCCACGGTCAAACGTCGAACTTCTCATGGGCCGAACCTAATGCAAATAAAGTGAAACAAAGAACTTAGCTCATTAACATTAGGTTCGGCAAATGAAAAGTTCGACGTTTGACCCTGGCCTTAGTTCGCTGACCTCAGAATGACATTTCGTCAAAAAACGTTTTTCTTCAAGATTGGTTTAGAAACAAACTTGGTGTAGGGTTAGGTTAGGATTAGAGTTGGTGCTTGGAATAGGGTTAGTAAAACCGTTGCTTTGTTACGTTTTGCCACTCTGAGGCCAGCGAAATAACCTCTCCTGTAGTATAACTATCCGGTATGTGACCTCAAAAAGAATCTAAACATTTTAGCTAAATCTCGTTATTTTAGCATTTCATTTTTGGCCGAACGGTCGTTGGTCAAAACTGTCAAACTACAAGTACTGACCTAGTTCGTGTTTTTCTTGGTAACTGAACTTCGGGCAGTGGTGTAGATTCATAAATATAATTCTGTGCATGGTCTACATGGGCGGCCTCTTGGTCATCACATGGTGGGGTGGGAGGTCGCCACAACTGAAATATAACGTACAGAGAGTCAGAGACCAGGCAAGTTCTGGAAGTATCCCCTCCCCTTTCTGAACAAGAAGTGGAAACATATAGTGTGCATGAATAGACCTTTCCCCTTTTAAGTGAGATTTTGATCAAGACAAGCCTTGACAAAAATTTCATCACAGCTTGAAAGAGCATCACAAAATTAGTAATATTCCGAAGTTTCGTTGCGAAATGTTGTAAAATGCGGATAATATAGCCTTGCGAAGTTTGCCGTTTTTCAGCCATTTAGATTACAAATGGGAAATTGATAATCAGATGATCAAACTGATTATCAATTTCCAGTTTGTAATGCAAAATGACTGAAAAACGGCAAACTTCGCAAGGCTATATTATCCGCATTTTACAACATTTCGCAACGAAACTTAGGAATATTACTAATTTTGTGATGCTCTTTCAAGCTGTGATGAAAGTTTTGTCCAGACTTGTCTTGATCAAAATCTCACTTAAAAGGGGAAAGGTCTATACACTCTTCACAATCTATTTAAAAACTGTATATTTCGAACAATTTCGGTTCATCTTTAGCAGTATATTTACAAGATATAAACACATATAGCTACCAAGTCTATATGAACCACCCTTCTGTGAATGCATTTAAGTTCAGTCTTAAACTTTGCTGCAAACTTTATAGTAGTAAATCAACACAGCTCGACCTGATCGAGTCGCAGGCTGTCTAAAATCTCATTTACACTTGTAATAAGCGCCCCAGGCAGCCAACTTATAACTCATGTCTGATCACGGAGCAAAAGCGACGTGCTTTGAAATCGATTTCAACAAATTTTCCCCAGATTGGATTTTTATTTTTAACCAAAGACCAAACACAACAGTTGTTTATATGGTATGACAAAATCTTACCGGCATTTCTTCACCAGTGACCTCGTCCACAAATTCCTTTGAAAACACATGTCAAGTAGAGTATTAGTGAGAATAATTTAACCCATCGAGTGCCAGCGCTCTCCCATTGACGGGTAAAACCGTCTGGCGTTAGATAGAGTAAAAGAACAAAATAGGGCGCAATGCAACTGAACGGATTAAACATTTAAACATGGGAATTGCATGGGGTGAACGGCAGTGACCTCCATATATCTGGAGTGAGAACTCTTTTGTCTGAGGGTTATTGAAGAATAATACGTGTTTTGAAGAAGTTTTCGTGAAGAATAATACGTATTTTGAAGAATAATACCATGGTTTCATGAACTGATAAAACTGAAATTAGCTGGGGAAAATGGTATGAAGGCTGTTACGACCTTCATAGCTATAAGAAGTTCGCAAATTTTGTATAGATTTGCATTACGCGCGGGAAAAATAACCATTTTTGAGCCGAAAGTGGTTATTTTTACCGCGCGTAATACAAATATACATAAAATTTGCCAACTTCACAGGGCTATATTTTCTTCATTTTACAACATTTAGCAGCCAATCTTTGCAGTTTTACTCATTCGAAGACGCTCTTTCTAGTTGTGGTGTTGGTGATCAAAATTCAGTCTATAGATCGGTGAGACCAGGATTTCTGCCTCTGTATCAATGGAAAGATCTGGCACAGGTTTCTCGAACATCTAGCAAAAATGAACCTCCTTCTAATGTGATCCAAATTTTGAACAAACTTTCGCAGGTAGTTCGTCTTGACAGACGATCGGCCCGACTGCGGCATTTATATTCTTACCGATTCGTACTGACAGCGTTCCGCATAAATCGGGCCCATGTTGGGGGTCCAAAAGGCCTGTGTGGCTTGCTAGTCTCATTATCCTAGTGTATGCCTCGTGATGAACAGACCATTTCAACAAGGTGCTGGTGCCAAAATATTCTACAATCGGGGCCTACGTGAAATATGCGCGCTATGACTTGGGATCTAGCCCTAATCGGATGACTGGTTCTCCTAAAAACCGTTTGCGTATAAGACCATCGCGCCTACAGATTGTGGAAACATAAGTTTCTGTGATCACAGTAGGAATTTTGCATCAGTAAATTCTAAGTTTTCAAGGATTTGTAAGAAATGTTTGACATCGGGTCAATTCCCTCAAACATTTCACATGAATCCTCCAAAACGTAGAGTTCAGCTATTCAAAATTCGACATAACATTTCTTCTAATACACTTATTATATTTCAGCCATTATCAGGGGAAGTATTATCACATGTTGACAAGATGTTCTATAAA